AATTATTTTATAATAGCAACACTTACATCATGGTTTCGTTATAAACAAGTGAAATATTATCTTCAATCACAATCAAAAGATGACCAAAATGCAAATTTTTCAAAAAAATTACGATCAATTAATTGGAACCTGGTAACAATTATGATTTTTTTCACATTTGGTGTGATAATTTTTACAACATTTCGTTCAACCGAATCAATAATTATGGCTTTGATTCATTCATTTGGTGCTACATTAACAATCATGTGTGAAATACTTTATTTACTTGGTACCATTTATTCTTGNATCATTGAATTATTATTGCCATTGATGGTTGAAGCATTTGTTGTTGTTGTTGTTGTTGTCGATACAATTGGTAAAAACCAATCAGGACCATTTAATGATAATGTAGCTGCTGCTTGATAATGTTTTAAAACTTTTTTTATATGTTTTGAATGTGATTCTAATGTCGATGTCGATGATGTAGTCGATGTTGTTGTTGATGATTGGCTTTGGCCATTATTATGGGCAACAGTTAAATCCATACCGATTGTTGAATTTAATTTGGCATTCGTCGTCGTTGATGATGATGATGATAATGATGGAAAAATGATTGAATTTTGTCGTTGTCGCTGTTGTTGTTCAATATTTAATTTACTTAAATCAACTGGATTTTCTTCATTAATCAAACATTGATTTTTTAATAATAAAAAAGTATCTGGTACAATTTGTTGTTGATTCGATGATTGTTGTTGTTGTTGTTGAGCCTGAGATTGTTGCATCGTTGAATCAAGAAAAAAAAAACATTTCTAAAATTCAAACGAAAAAAAAACGAGAGAATACAGAATTTATGATTAGTAAAATGTGACATGACAAAAAAAACCAAAGCAGAAAAAACTAGATGCCTAACAATTCCGTTGAATTATTCTTACTGACTGATGATTAATTAAACATGAATGTTTTTATCAGAAAAACGCCGCATCTTTCATTACATTCTTTCTTGGTTACATCGAAATAATTCTTATTCGCTTATTCATCATCATCATCATCATCATCGGATTCTTATCTCTCTCTCTCTCTCTCTCTCTCTCTCTCTCTCTCTCTCTCTTTCGATACAATTATCAAAAATGGC